CCCCGCCCGCAAACGTTCCTGCAGGCCGCAGCTTGGCCCAGAAAGCTTTTTCTCTGGGCTTCCGAAGGCGACGTTAGACACCCACGGGCCCCGCCCTCAAACCCTCCTCGGCAGCCGGCAGGCCTGCCGTGGCCTCTTTGTGGCCTGTCCGAGGCCTGGCCTGCAAATCTAGGGGGTAAATTTACCCGCCGCTTTTGTATGCCTTGAGTCGGAAAGAGGGGTAAGCATTTCTGACATCATACGGACTGCACATACAGTAGGGCGTCCGTAGTGTAGGCTAAGCACTGGTAAAAGGTATAAGGACTGGAGTGTCTTGAGGAAATAGCCGGCTTATGGTTATGGCAAATCTGGGGCGTCAATTTACCCCCCGCTTATCTATGCCTTCAGCCGGAACGAGGGGTAAGCATCACAAGGACTGTGCATACACTAGGGCATCCGTAGTGTAGGATAAGCACTGGTAAAAGGTGTCAAGAATAGAATGTCTTGAGGAAATAGCCGGTGTATGGTTATAGCAGCCAGCAGCACCACGCAGCAGCAGCGCCGCGCTCCTCCCCCAAGAAAAGGGGTCGGCGGCACCAGGGCGGAGCCCTTACTATAAGGCCAGGAGCCCCTAGTAGCGTCTTGTATAGTCTTCAAGATTTGGCTGTACTTGCAAACATTGAGCCCAAAGCTTCCGCCAGATTCCCAATCACCTCCGGATTGTAACCTCTGAGCTTGACATACGATTTGTAGAAGAAAGTACCAAACAGACAAAGACTGACAGCACTTATCTTTCCGCCTTCCCAATCAATAGATGCCGGACGCACAACCATGTTGAGAGGACACATCTGCTATCAAACTTGTCAACCCATCACCAAAAACAGAACCAACGTTGATGTATGTCATCTTGTGTTTTCTTTGCTATATATAATTGTTTGTTATTTCTCTGCGTTTTGGTGTGGCGAACCAGAACCCAGAACTTTCACGTTCGGGTTGACACAGGTTCCTTAGACAGAACCGGCAAGGTTTGAACGACGGCTCCAGTGCACAGCAATCAAAACTACAGAGAGATACAGTTGGTTCAACAGTGTGGCTTGCCGCGCCAGTTGAACCTTCCCTGCATCACAGACCTAAACTTGTTTATCAAAGATTGCAAGATTGCGAACATGTGGTTAAAGTTCTTAGACCTTGATCGGGTAGGCCCGGTCTTGTAGCGGAACGTATATACGCTGCAAAAACCAAGCTACGAGTCGGCTACGAGTATTCCTGTGCAGTTTGGATCGGGTCGGTTTTTACACGTCTGCCAACATCCGCGGTTTCAGCTGTTTCTCGAGCAGGTTTCTTGTGGTTCAGCCTTTTCAGTCGTTTCTGGGTCTGTGTCCGCCGTTCCAGCTCAACCTTCCGACGCGTCACAATGGAGTTTTCAAAGCTATGAGTCCTCCTCCTGTTGAAATTGCCCAAAACAAAAGCGCCGACAGATTTGAACCACCGCATGGCGCCAGCCCTGTGCGCTGCTGGCCGCAACAAAGCGTTCTACATTACTCGCTCTTGACAAGGAGGTTTCCAAAGAAGTTCCTCAGGGAGGTGTAAGCTGTAAGATGCTGTAAGCTTCTTTGGAAATCGGCGCTCTAATTTGGTTACGGTGCTCGATTGAGCCTTGGACGCAAGTCCGGCTCTTATAGTAATAAGGACTAGACAGGGGAAATGGATAGATTCTCAAAGAACGCTCTTGTGGTGCTGTCGCTCTTGCTAAGTGATCCTTTAAGGTCTACACTGTCACAAATTAACTTTACTACAAATGCTCACAGCAAAGCGCCTGCATCAGGCCAGAGGGTGTGGCCTGCAATCGGCACCTTGCAGCAGATCAAAGTTCTACTCGGTAACTAAAAGGTATCTTGGGTAACTAGACGGTTTTTTCGGAACCAATCTTCAGTATGAGTAACTACAGTAGGTTACGACACCAAGAGGCGCCTGTGGGTGGGAGGTGAGAGTCTGACTGAACCCAGTCAGAAGGACAGTCGCAAGAAAAAGTACAAAACATAAATAATGTCGTCAATCTCGATACTGCAGTGCCCTTGTCTGATCCAATGTGATTGCTTTGCCAGGCCTGACCTGTACAATGCGGATGTGGCAGGACGCAAGTGAGGTGAACGAATGTAAGAAAGAAGTTGAAACACGATCGTCCAGGTTTCTAGAAGCAACGAAGCAGCAGGAGCAAGAGTAGACCGAGAGAGGCCAACGATCAGGGCCCAAGGTGCAGGACAAGGTGAAGTCCAAAAGGGGATCTCGAGGAAACGAATGCAAATGTTCAAATGCTATCATACTATCGAGATAAAACATGTCAACAGTGAGAAAAAGAGACCATGTGGGATCAAACGGAGAAGGGACACAAGCCAAATGCAACAAAGTCACACACGAAATAGACAACAACGATCAACAACGCGTCTACAGAACACGACTCGTGAGGAAAAACACATAAAAAACCTGCGAGCCAATGCGACTGCCAGTTGCGTCCTAACACATCTACTACACGACACCGAACGAATGGATAGGATATGATAGGATGCATCTTCAAAAGTAGAACACGTCTTGCCGCATCGTCTTCAAAACACATATACGCTTTAATGACACAGAACGAAATTAACCCCCCCCACCCGAAACCCCGCCATAGGAGCCTGTGGCTGATATATGTGACAACACACTGAAGAATTGCACTTTGGTAGGTTTTCACATATCAGCCACAGGCTCCTGATGGCGCCATTATAGGCAACTACGGTAACTAAAACGTGATCTTCAGCGGCAACTAGACAGTCTTCTTGGGAAACTAGTCTTCGGTAACAAAAATGCTCTGGTAACTAACTAGACGGAGTTCTCTGGCAACTGAAAAGTTTTCTTGGAAAATGCTGCATTCGGAAAATAATTCTGAAGAATTCTAAGGCGTGCCGTCGCCTTCAGGGTAAGTCAATAAGCCCAGCCAACCCCCCACCCCATACTTGTCACAGCATTTCATCTAAAAGCATCCCCGATCCAGCGGCACACCTGCACCCCCCAGCTGTGCTCCATTCATGTTGGAAGAATGCAGTGTACGAAATAGTTTCTCAAAGTCGCGAAATAGTTAGTATCTGAAGATCGCGAAACAGGTTTCGGAAGATCGCGAAAAAGTTTCTCAAGATCGCGAAGCAGGCTTCGGAAGATCACGAGGAAGTTTCTGAAGATCCAGCTGACAACCCCAATAGCAAAACATCCACCAAGATTTGGCGCATTTTTTCTGCGGGCGTTGTTCGTTGCGTTGTTCTTATAATTCTTATATGAGTGAAAGAACCACTCCGTCTGTCTTTCGCATGTTTTCATGTCGGCATGCACATGCAGCCTTGTGGATACCTTCCTTGGCCATTTAGGCGCAAGGGTCGTTCATCTTGAGTGGAAAAGGTTCGGCGTGACTTCTACATTGGTGCTGCGGAGCTGTTTGGGGCCGGTCCAGCGGGCAACGAGCATGGCAGCCGAGGAGACCCGCTCCCGTCGCTACCGAGGACGCTGTTCTTTCGAGTGATGCCACTCAAGGGGGTGAACAGTGGACGACACCGGACCTTCGGCTAGTTCGCAGCCTCGGCCGCAACCGGAGGGATGGGTGAGAAGGATGAGAAATGGGAAGAAGATGGTGACTGGACCTCTGACCCTTGGTCCTATCCCTCGGCTGACCCTGGCAGTGGTGCCTCCCAGGATGGCTGGATGTCGGATGCGCAGCTTAGGGACTTCAATGTGGCCCGGGTGGATCAAATGACCGCCATCAACAACGGCAGGTGGGCTGGCAGCTATGACTTCCAAGCTGACTGGCCTGAGAGAGCTTGGAGACCTGAGGCGAAGCCCACCGAGAAGCTCGTTGTTCCAGAGTTCGTTGGCGAGGGCATCAACGATGCTGAGTTGGGACGATCGGCAAGATCGTATGTGAGAAGGGTGCAAGTTTGGCTTCGATGCGCGAAGATGTCTCCAGAGCAGAGGGCACTGGCCCTTTACACCGCCATACACCGCCTTGACTGGCAAGGCTTGGGTTTATGCCGAAGAGCTGGATGTGGATCCTTTGGCCATGGAGACCGGAGTTTCCTACTTCCTCGAATGGATCCAAACTCGGTTCATGGAGGTAGAGCTGACCAAGATCTCGCAGATCATGAATGAGCTCTTCCGCAAATGTCGCCGGCGGCATGATCAGAGCGTGCGGGACTTCAACGTGGAGTTTGAGCGGTTGGTGTTGAGACTTCATGAAGTCCGCTGTGAACTACCTCCTCTGATCAAGGGTTGGCTCTACCTCGATAAGCTTCGGTTGTCAGAATCCGAGGAACTGGCCTTGCTCTCCAGCGTCAACAACACCTATGATGTCCGACGCCAACAGTTGAAGGGCAATAGAATCACTGAATATCTTCCTTGTTTGGCATCCGGCACAGTCATCAAGGGTCACTCTGATGTGCTTTCTGCCCTTGGGGCTCCTGCTGATGACATTGGACCCTGGATTGGACGCAGCCGCTTTGCTGAGCAGAAACGAGAAGTCTGCACAGCTGGCCCTGATTTGCTGTGCACGAGACCGGATGCCTTCCCTCCTTCCTTCGCCAGGGAACATGAAGAAGGAGCAGTGGTCGTGCATAGGACTTGGACAGTCCCAGAACTCCGACAGATCCTCATCGAGCAAAGGGACTTGGAAAAGCCAATGCCGACCAACGACAAGATGAAGGGGCTGACCTTGCTCAAGCTTCAGGAACTGGTGGATCTGGCCGGGAAGGAGGGCATTGCAGTTCCGACCAAGCCCACTCGAGGGCTCATGGTCAAGCTCATCCGCGACAACCGCAGCACTCCGGCGCAGACCGTGGTCCAGTTCGGCCGGTTCAAGGGGTACATGATGGTACATGTACCAGGAGATCCCGGAGGGCTACCTGAAGTGGGCCATCCAAGAGACCAAGGGGAACCCCGACACTCACAAGGATCTGGTCCGCTTGGCAACGTGGGCCAAAGAAGACCTCATCCGTCGCAAGGATGTGGGAGTGCTCTCCATCAAGGCCGAACTGGGACGCGACCCGGAAGCCTTAGCCGAGATGACCGAGATGACCGAGAGCGACATCGTGGAGGAGGAAGAGGATGCTTCCGAGCAAATCCAAGCTCTGGAGAAGCAGATAACCGTTTTGAAGAAACGGCAGGCCAAGGCCTGACTGCTCCACCTAGACATTTGACACCACCTAAACAGTTAAACAGTTAAACATGACCGAGAGACCACGTATACGTTACCAAGACGCCACTGCCCAGGCCGGGGGCGGTCGCCACTGCCCAGGCCGGGGGCGGTGGATCCGACGGCGCCCGCCTAAAGAGTGTACAACCCCAAGCTATCGCTATTGGGGAATATTTCTTGAAAATTGCGATATAGATTCTGAAGATCTGAAGATAGCAAAGTAAGATCGCAAAATAAAGGTGGAGACCGCGAAACATGTACGGAAGATTGCAAAATAGTTCCGGAATGTTCCAGAAGATCACAAAATAGTTTATTAATGAAGATCGTGAAATACTTCTGAAAATTGCGAAACATTTTCAGAAGATCGCCACATAGTTTCGGAAGATCGCGAAATATATACTAAGATCGGGAAACGCTTTCTGAAGATCGCGAAGTAGTTTCTTTCTGAAGAGCAGTTGCGGAAGAATACCCAATAGTTACGGAAGAAAAGTTTCAGAAGAATGAGGAGTTTAGGAATAGGACTTTGCTCCCTGCAGCACGGATCTCTTTGGTGGGTAGGTGAGAGTAGTTAACTTTGGAGACTGAAACACAGCTTGTGCAAGTAAGAGAAGAACATGTGACAAACCCTCTGCGAATTTCGTTCCAGGCTCCTCTCTCTCTCTCTACTCGGTCAGAAATATCATTCCACGACTGTAGTGTCCAGTCCCAGCTAGCTACTGCTGTGTGCGGAGCCCATTCATCATCGCCAGACTTCTCCACACCCATCTGCAAAAACATGGACTCACTGCTCTCGGAGCTTTCTGCGTTTAATCGTGCAGTTTACAAATTTACAAAAACAAGTTTTTGTTTGTTTTCAATCTCAATGTTGTTGCATCAGTGGTCCATGGTGCCCAGTTTGAGTTGGTGAATTCTTCTTTGCTTTTGCAGTGGCCCGCTACGACTTAAAGACCAAAAACCAATCGACACTTGTTGCAGGCCTCATGAACTGAGTGTCGAGGAATCTCAGTTGACCGCTCAGTGTTGACCGCTCAGTGTTGTACAAGTGGAGAGAGTCGAGTTCAGTCAATCAGTCTCTGGTACCACATTTACTGCATTGCAACAAGTTGAATACAAAGGCCCAGACTCCGGTGATTGGAACCCAATCTGCGAGGATAGGAGAAGGCCAAGGCCTTCAGTAACACAAATGGTTCAAGAAATTGACTGGTCGCAACCAAAAGCAATGATAATGGTTTGTCTGCTTTCCTGACACACTTATAATGGACATCTTCCCAGGCCATGACAGAGAAGCAAGGCAAATGATCCGCGCCATCGCGAAAATCATGGCGTCACTGAGTCAAGTTCAACAGTCTAGTGAGAGCATAACACAGATTGAACCTCTTGCATGGTGTGAACAGGATTGAAACTGAAAATGTACTGTATCCAGGTACAAGTAAGTATCAATGTGGCTACTGTGTTGCCGCTGCACTGGACAACGGGAATCGATCTGAGCACAACTCCAGTCCAATTTGCCTTAAAATTCAAAGCTGCTGCTGTGGATAAATATCTGCAACTCCTCAGGGACTCCAATCAGCACTTATCACCCCCGAGGCCTGCTAATGAATCCCCACAAAATCGCTGTCTACCAGTCTACCCCAATAGCGCCCGCAAAACGCTTGTTTCTAATTGCATTCAGACATGTTGTGGAAGAATGCCAGCACTCGCGTGTTTTTCAGACTGTCAATCCTGCCCTGGTGTTCAGTTCAGGCATGTGCACATTGACAAAGCGTCAATTACGCGTTTGGTACGATGATTTCTGTGTACAAGGGGCCCAAGGGACGCAAGCAGCCAAGTAAAACACTTGTTGAACTTGCGCATGTAGAGCCAAAATTAAAGGACCGTGACCGGATAACCCCACATATGAGTCTTTGCGAATCTTAAGTTTCTAAAGCACAAAGCAGTCAGAGTCTCAATAGCTTCTACAACACGGCCTTGTCAGGAAGTGATATCAGCTTCCGACAACAGAGGGGTGGGAGAGAAGGTGTAAGAGAGTGATGTGCACGACGGATGTACGAGGTATTGTGCACACAGGTGTGCGCAGCCACAACTAGCCAACAACCCCAGCGGTGGTCGCACGTCCGCAATATGAGCATAATGTACTAAAGTTGTACTACCAAGTCGCCAGTTGTCAGCTTCCAGCTCCCCAGCTACTCCGCGTACTACAGTTGTACTACAAAGTCGCCAGTGCTCATCTTCCAGCTCCCCAGATACTCCGCGTACTCAAGTTGTACTACCAAGTCGCCAGTTCTCATCTTCCCTCTCCCCAGCTACTCCGCGTACTAAAGTTGTACTACCAAGTCGCCAGTTCTCATCTTCCAGCTCCACAGATTGCTCCGCGTACTGAAGTTGTACTAGAAACTCGCCAGTTCTCAGCTTCCAGCTCCACAGCTACTCCGCGTACTAAAGTTGTACTACAAAGTCGCCAGTTCTCAGCTTCCAGCTCCACAGATTGCTCCGCAGACTGAAGTTGTACTAGAAACTCGCCAGTTCTCAGCTTCCAGCTCCACAGCTACTCCGCGTACTAAAGTTGTACTACAAAGTCGCCAGTTCTCAGCTTCCAGCTCCATAGATTGCTCCGCGTACTAAAGTTGTACTAGAAGCTTGCCAGTTCTCAGCTTCCAGCTCCACAGCTACTCCGCGTACTAAAGTTGTACTACAAAGTCGCCAGTTCTCAGCTTCCAGCTCCACAGATTGCTCCGCGTACTGAAGTTGTACTAGAAACTCGCCAGTTCTCAGCTTCCAGCTCCACAGCTACTCCGCGTACTACAGTTGTACTACCAAGTCGCCAGTTCTCAGCTTCCAGCTCCCCAGCTGCTCCGCGTACTACAGTTGTACTACAAAGTCGCCAGTTCTCAGCTTCCAGCTCTCCAGCTAATGCGCGTACTACAGTTGTACTACCAAGTCGCCAGTTCTCATCTTCCAGCTCCCCAGCTAGTCCACGTACTAAAGTTGTACGACAAAGTCACCAGTTCTCATCTTCCAGCTCCCCAGCTACTCCGCGTACTAAAGTTGTACTACAAAGTCGCCAGTTCTCAGCTTCCAGCTCCACAGATTGCTCCGCAGACTAAAGTTGTACTAGAAACTCGCCAGTTCTCAGCTTCCAGCTCCACAGCTACTCCGCGTACTAAAGTTGTACTACAAAGTCGCCAGTTCTCAGCTTCCAGCTCCACAGATTGCTCCGCGTACGCAAGTTGTACTACAAAGTCGCCAGTTCTCAGCTGCCAGCTCCCCAGCTACTCCGCGTACTACAGTTGTACTACAATCGCCAGTTCTCATCTTCCAGCTCCCCAGCTGGTCCGCGTACTAAGTTGTACCACAAAGTCACCAGTTCTCATCTTCCAACTCGCCACATACTCCGCGTACTAAAGTTGTACTACAAAGTCGCCAGTTCTCATCTTCCCACTCCCCAGATACTCCGCGTACTAACGTTGTACTACCAAGTCGCAACCGCCAGACCCTCTAGGAGAGCAAGATCTACTGCAATTCACAATAAGACAGCGCCGCAGCCGACCACAGCGGCGACCAGCGGCGACCACAGGCGACCACCGGCGACAACGCAACCGCCAGACCCTCTAAGAGAGCGAGATCTACTGCAATTCACAAAAAGACAGCGCCGCAGCCGACCAGCGGCGACCACAGGCGACCACCGGCGACAACGCAACCGCCAGACCCTCTAAGAGAGCGAGATCTACTGCAATTCACAATAAGACAGCGCCGCGGCCGACCAGCGGCGACCACCAGCGACCACCGGCGCCCACGCAACCGCCAGACCCCTAAGAGAGCGAGATCTACTGCAATTCACAATAAGACAGCGCCGCAGCGGACCAGCGGCGACCACAGGCGACCACCGGCGACAACGCAACCGCCAG